AAATATGAAATTAAAGCTATACTCTATCTAATGCATAACCATCCAACTGGTGCACACCTAGGCATTAACAAGACCTTTGAGAAATTCATGATCAATACTATTGGCCTCAAATGTTTGAAAATATTAAAGACTACATTTGATCATGTGACCAATGCCAAAAATATGAAAAATATAGAACTCCAGAACCCTTGCATCCTATTCCTGTTGAAGAATCATTTTCCAAAATTGACATAGATATTGTAGGACCTTTACCAATGACCAAACAAGAAAACAAGTATATTATTATTGCAACAGATTATTTTACCAAATGGCTAGAAGAAGAAGCCATTTCTGAAGCTACTGGAAAACGTATAGCAGAATTCATCTATCAAGTCATTATTTGCAGACATGGATGTTCAAAACAAATCTTGTCTGACAGAGGAACACACTTTCAAAATGAGATAGTAGATGGATTACTCAAATAATTTGAGATAAGACATTTATTATCCACATCATACCATCCTCAAACCAATGGATTGGTTGAACGATTTAATAGAACTTTGTGTGAATCTCTTGCCAAGTTAACAGAAGGCAAAGAAGATTGGGATCAACATATTTCGCCAGTACTTTTCACCTACAGAACATCAAAACAATCTTCAACAAAAATGATACCATTTTATTTACTTTATGAACGAAAACCACAAATGCCTACATCAGATACAGATGAAATATTACAACCAACAATTCTTGATTGATTGTATACTTTATTAGAAGACCTCCCACAACAACAAGAACAAGCAAGAAAAAATATTTACAAGGGACAACAAAAACAGAAACAGAGATTCGATCAAAAAGTAACAGGATATAAAAAGTTGAAATTCGGAAATAAGGTACTAATGTATGATACTGCTAGGGATAAACACTTCACAGGAAAGTTGAAATCAAAATGAAAAAAACCCTTCTATATCTATGATACTTTGCCAAATGATGTCTTCAAACTTAGAACAATGAAAGGAAAAGTTCTTGCTGCTCCAATTAATTTCTTTCTCTTGAAACCATATTTCGACCGATCAGCATGCGAACTTAGCATACACATAGAAGCATCCTTTAGCTACTGAAAGATTCAGTACCCAGGTTACGTGACATGGACGCAGATGCTTTGGTAACCCAGTCCTCAACTTGTTTAGAACAAGCATCCTTGAACCCTTGACCATGCCTAAAAGAAAAAAAAAGCAAGCAGAGAACATGATGTAGTATGGATGACCCAGAGAGTATCCACATCACATACTACCGCCGGCCCAGAGAGCAAACTCAGCATTTACCATGTTCCCTTTTATGAATTAAAAGAACCATGTAAAAAAAAAAAAAAGAGAAAAAGAGAAGATAAAACCAAACCTAAAAAGAGAAACGTCTTCCAGAACCAACTGGAAGCAAGGACAACATCTGTTGAAACAACTCCCGCCCAGCCTCTATTCTCAACCTGAGCTCAACTCTTTCCTGTTCCAATTCCACAGCTTGAGAAAAACTGCCCCTAGCCTGATGAAGACCTTCAAGCTCCCTTTCAAGGCACCGATGAGACTGCTGCAATCTTAAGATATCTTGACGAAGGGAAGAGATATACTTCTCCAGGAAACCGAACTCAGCTCGAGCATCTGGATTTTGCTGCAATCAGAAAACAAAGTCCCAGTACAAGCGACGAAGTGGAAGGTGGTGAGAATTTCTATGAATGCGAAGCATTTTGATACTATCTTGAATGAAGATTACCTGTCCAACGATTTTTGGAAAAGATCTTAAATATCCAAAATTGTAAAACCTGCCAAGAACTTCAAAAATGTTCACGAAAATCTATAAAAAGGACAGCTGCCCCAAACAACATGTTCCTTTTTCAAAATTGAACATTTCCAACATGCAAATAATAACCTTATAGCCACCTATACTATTTTGGTTGAAGATCTGCTACAAAATACTCCTGAAGATGTGGATGTTGTACCAGTCCCTTATAACCTTCTGCAAACTACTGAAGTACAAATTTCTGTCACCTATCAGAAATTATAAAGAGCATCACGAAGGAAAAATCAGATCTTGGTACTTGTGTATACTTTTTACTTAGGGGAATTGTTGGAAACATCCCAAACAGAAAACACCGATCTTGATTAAGTTCTCAGATTACATCATATTACTCTATTGCATCCAGGCGAGTCTATACCATTTTTGAAAAGATAGGAGTCACACAGTTATACAGGACCCAATCCACTACCTTATGCCTAATTTATCAAATGCCCCATTCTGATTTTGTTTCCCTTACACAAGATTAAACTCATAGAACTTGCAGATTAATGGGGAAGAATTGTTACACTTGATCTTCGCCCAACATTTTATTTTATCCTTGTGACAATCTATTGATATTTAGCTCCTGAAATATTCTCTTCTTGTTCTAGAATTTCTATACTATTGATCTACTGTAATACCTTCGCCTACTTTGCCTACTTAGCCATCTTTGCCTATTCTGGAATATTCTTTAATTTTATTTACTATTATCACTTTGATATCTTCGCCAAAGTATTCATCTCTATCAAAGTAAGTATAGTTGACTATTTTGACAAAGCTATCATCTCTTCTATAGTTATTATCTTTATCAAAGTATACTACTATCATGTATGCAAATCATATATCAAAAATATGTTATGACAGGTAAAATTGGGACGCGACATCCATCACATGACCAATTGTTGCGTTAGTATCCTGATGACTATGAAATATTAGGTAATAAAGAGAGAGTTGGGGAGGATTGTAAAAAGAATTATGTCATCCAGCTTAGTCATGACATTATTATTAGTGCTTATTATTTCATAGCCAAGACGTCATAGCCAGAGGTAACAAAAGAGAAGTATAAAATAACATAGAAAATGTAAGAGATATAGAATAGTCGTAGAACAAATAGTGATAGCTAGTAAAAGAAAATTAATAAAGACTCGGTCAAATAATACGCCTCAAATCACCTTTTCAATTACTTACCCTTGTAACGGTTATGTGAATTTCTGCCAGAGTGAGCGACAGACTCGTCGATAAACCGTTACAATATATATAAATGCCTCCAATTCCTCCAGAATTGCAAGGTTGAACTTTTCTTTTTATTAATAAAATAACTTGACCTTTACAAAACAAATTACCATTGTCTCTTTTGCTTGACCTCATACACCTCAGAACTGTACTAATTTTAGTACACCCTTATGAACTTTAGCATATCACATTGGTCCATCCATACAAAGTGTCTCCCTGCTACTAGTTCTCCGTCCATATCTTTCTCTTGAGGTAGGAAGATATATGACACCGTATGATCACAAGAAATCGATGCACTTTTAATGTACAAAAAAAAAATGACGGATTAGCATTAGCCATTTCTTTTTTTTAAGTAACACATCAAAACAAAGGCAGGATACCATACCTTCTTGTGCTGCCCCGAAGTATCATATTAGGAATGGCATCCATTTACCATAACTTCTGCTCCCGAAGAAGATTACATTTCAGTGCACATCCATGTGGTTGGTAATTTCATTGAATCACTGGTTAGGAAACTTGAATACAACTTCGATGAAAAAATGCAACTATGTATAAAAAAGAAATGAAATGAAAGAGAATGTTTACCTCTTAACAAGTTACTGATCCTGAAGGTTATGCTGGATGCCAATGATCACGAAAGTCACGATGCCGAAAGAAGCAAGGGACGAGTTCCTAAAAGGAAGAAGGTCCATCCAATAAAAAGAAAAGAATGATGGAAAAACCAATGGCAGAGAACCAAACTTATCGACAAAACTCTAGTAGCTTATACCAGGAATGATGGATATCACCGAGGATCAAGGAGAACCCGCAGATAGTGAATCGAACGTGAAGCATGGGGCTAGGGAAAGACTGGTAAGAAAAAGTTAAAAATCAACGGTAAAACGTCACAAAAAAAAAAAAATGTCACAACTTACCGAATTGCACCAAAACTGATGACTGGAAATACTGAAATGCTATTATAATCACAATCATGATAATGATCACAAAAGTTTACCCTACGAAGTTGGATAATACATGCCTAGAATATACTGTATATGCATACATATATATTCAGAATGGCAAAAAATATCTAAATGCTCTGACAAGCCTCCACAACAAAATCAATTACAGGTACAAGATTCAAGTTTATATACAACCTCAAATGCAATATCTTGATGCTGTCATAATCGCAATCACCATCATGATCACGATTACACATTCTCCCTGCACGAGAAATCATGAACGGATCCAAAATCTTACTGAATGTCTATGGACCTTGACTTCATTTACACCGAAGAAGCAAAATAAAAGTTCCATTAAAAAAAAAATGGATTATCTTGATGGACAAAGGCATATACATTATCCTAGTGATCCTAACCTTTTGTATATACCAATGCTGGCTCATTCAACATGATCAGTTTCCCTAATACAACGGGTGTCATCTGCTCTTAATGGAAGTATTCACGATACTCCTACAAAACAAGAGACATAAAATGTGTTATGATGAAATTTCCGTCCCTTTATAAAAAGAAAAAAAGAAAGCGTAGTACGCATATAATAAGTGTGGGGGAATGTAACAGGTAAAATTGGAACATGATATCCGTTACGTAACCAATTGTCGTGTTAGTATCCAGATGACTATGAAGATTAGGTAATAAAGGAAGAGACGAGAGAATTGTGAAAAAAAATTATGTCATCCAGCTTTAGTCATCCTATTGTATTAGCACCTATTATTCTATGGCTAAGTCGTTATAGACAGATGTAAGGAAGAGAAAAAGAATAGAAAAAGAAAATTAATAAAGATTCGGTCAAATAAAACATGCCTCAAATCACCTTTCATTTACTTACCCTTGTAATGGTTATGCGAATCTCTGCTAGAGTAAGTGACAGATTCACCAATATACCATTACACTAGTATTTTATTAAATTTGATTAAATATGGCTAGTTCTTCAAAGACCATTAATGCAGATAAGCAAAGAAGATGAAGAAAAATCTATCGCTCAAAGACAAAGTTGATATCATTAAAAGAAAAAATGTTGACATAAAATTGAGCAATGAAAAACTGGCTGTAGAGTTTAGTATAGAACATTCCACTATAAGTGGCATTTTTCAGAATAAAGAGAAATTTCTACAGTTGCATGCAGATGCTAAGAGTTCAAATCTGAAAAAAACACGTATCCAGATGGCACAATTTTATTCATTAGAAGAGACACTTTATAAATGGTTTGAAGGTTTACACAGTCAAAATATTTCAGTTTTCCAAGATTTGTTAAAAATGAAGGCAGTTGAGCTTTATAATAAGGCTATAAAACAGGGCACACAATTTCCTAATTTTGAAGTATCAAACGGATGATTGGAAAAGTTTTAGAATCGATATGACATTCATTACAAAACTATTACTGGTGAAAGCGAATCTGCGTGTCTTAACCAAATAGAGAATGGAATAAAAGAATTGCAACAAATAATAGCTATATTTAACATAGATGATGTTTACAATAAAGATGAAACAGGACTCTTCTTCCACTTAGGCCTGAACAAAACACTTGTATTGAAAGGTGATAAAGCGAAAGGTATTAAAAAAGACAAAGAACGCATTACAGTCTTACTCTGTTGCAATGCAATGGGAACAAAAAAACTAAAGCCATTTGTTATAGGAAAAGTCAAAAATTCTCGTTGTTTCAAAATATCAACTTGACAATATTGCTTGTTAGATATTTTAGCAATAAAAAAGCCTGGATAACAATTGAAAGGTGAAATAAATGACTGAAGTGGTTTGACAATCAACTATCTCAGAAGTTACTTTTGTTGATTGATAATTGTCCTGCGTATACAGATGGCTCGTCCCTCGGTCTTAAAAATTTACAAATTAAATTTCTTCCAGCAAATATGACGGCTTACATTCAACCATGTGATGCTGGAATTTATTCGCAATTTTAAAGTTTATTATCAAAAGATATTAGTATCATAATGGATTCGTGAGTTGAATGAAGGACAAGAGATAAAAAAACTAAACATTAAAGAAGCGATTGAAATAGTTGCAGATGTTTGGAACAATATACAATAAAGAATTGCTGGTTAAGTACGGAAATATTAACTGCAGAAATGACACATACCAATGTAGATAATATGGAAACTGATGAAGCCAATAATGATATAGTTGAATTGATTTTAGCTTTAAATAGTCTTAGTATTGCAGAACCCTCAATAGATAGTTTGATAGCAAATGAATATATTGAGATAGATAATAATTTGGTTAGTGCAGAGTTACTTACAGATGATGAACTTGTTGAAGAAATTTTTTTGGCTGAAGAAGTCTTACACCCAATACAAGTAGATATGGAAGATTTAAGTGAGGAAGAAGAAACAAGTATTTCTGTAAAGGTGGAAAGGAAAGCACTTGTAATAGTCAGGAAGTTTTTAGAACAAAGAGAATTTATAACAGAAAGTGATATAAAATATATTCGCAATATAATTAAATGCTTAGATAAAACAATAGAAATGTCACAACATCAGACTTCACTAATGAAATTTATTAACCAATAAAATTACACAATATTATTTATGAAAATACTATACCTCAGTTATATCCCAACCTCAGATATATCCCCAAAAATCTCGGGTCCCAAAGTGGAAATATAAACAAGATATGACTGTATATAGTATTATTGTTTTTTAAAATGAATTAATAAACATACTAATAGTAGTTTGATTAGAGAAAAAAAAATAATAATATAAATATAATTTGAAGATATAGTATGGATTATATATGTGATAAAATTGAATTTAATTATTTTTCAAAAACTATATTATGGTAAAATTATTAAATAATATATAAAATTCGTATTTAATTTGAAATCATATTATAGATTAAATTTTCTTTTATAATAATACAAACACATGTATGGTATGGATCAAAAATAATTGAAAAAAATTAAATTATATTTTATTAAAAAAATTTTTTTTTTAGATAAACATTATTTCTTTATTTGAGTTGTATATATTATAAGTTATATATCATAAAAGAAACAATATCTCTTATATATTAATACAATGAATTAAATATTAGCTTGCCTATAGTAACCATATAATTAATATTAAAAAGAAATTTTAAAACAATATATTTGTCAAATAATATTAAGCAGCTATAAATACCTACTTAATATTATTTTTATTAAGAATTTAATAAATAATAAAAATAAATAAATATATATATATTTTAAAGGTAAATGTGCATCGATGTATATCTTTATTAATATATAATATCTAGACAGACATCAAATATCTTTTACAATATAGAAATATATACAACAATTTTAAATATTATATATCTTCTATATATAGAATTAACACTGTTTATTAACTATTTCTAATAATAACTTATATATTCCACCTTTATTAATTCAACTATACAAATTTATACCTCTAGGATAGATTCACATATTGGGTAGGATTAGTTCAGGAGATGAAAATCCTATTACCAGTTTAAATCATTTAAAACCTATTAATTCAATAAGGCAAGGAGCTTGTATATTTTTCAAAAATGATTAAAATACCTGGATATCCTATTTAATACTTTTTATCCAGAACCTTGGAGAAGGTATTATACTTTTTGTTACCATCTATAGCTTCAAATTTTCTTTTTGGGATTTTTTTTTTAAGCAAGTACTGGATTGGAATAACCTCAGGCTTGAGTGTTTTTTGTGCTATAGAGTTTGCCATATCAGAAAGTATTATGGACTTTTATCAGAGTTAAATTAGAAACCTTTCCTGCTTTAATCTGTTTTTAATTCACAATTGTCAAAAAGATCTGAGATCCTATTTTCATACAGCCTGATTAAATTTAATCAAGATTCAAATGTTTGAATATAATATTTGTAGAAAAATTATAAATACAGTATACTTTTCTTATAAAATCTTTTCTGTTTTGATTTGTTTTTAGTTTACAATTGTCAAAAAAACCAGAGGTTCCATTTTCATACAGCTTAACTAAATTTAATCAAGATTCAGATGTTTGGATATGATACTTGTAGAAAAATTATTTTTTTTTTAAAGGAATAAAGACAACCGTTAGTCTTTTGCTTTTATTATAAGGGACTTGTTATTACAACAGTATTATACATGCTAGACTAAACTACATCTCTCTTTCATAAGAAGAGCTTAATGCAAGGCTCAAAAAATTGACCCTTTGTCTAAATACCTATTAACTACCCAATACTAAATAGTAAACTCATTTCAAAACCTATTTTAATTCTTGGGCAGTGCCCAGCGGGAGGCTGAGAAATAGGAGAATATCCAAACACATGAAGGCACTGCAGCCAGATATACAGGTTTGCCTCCAAGTCATGGTTGGGATTTGCACGCTTGCTTTCCAAAATTGGCTTGATGTACGGCAGGCGGAGTCAGTGGAGGGAGAAATATGGATGGTGTTACCTTAATGCATGAAGGCGCTGCAGCCACTTTATGTAGGTTGGCCTCCAAGTCACAAGAAGGATTTGGCATATCCATTGTCCAAGTGTGGCGGAAGTATTCAATGGATAGAGTTGGATTGGATTTCATATAGACATTGTTACCTAATCTTGCACATGAGACCTACATTGTCGAGGGGTGAGCGAGCATCGTCACCAGCTCGTTTTCAGGAGTAACTAGAATCCCTGGTCTTCACGTATTGTGTTATCAATGATGATCTGTGGAATGTTTGTTGTTTTTGGTGATACCTGACTCCATTTATGGATTTGTCTAA